GCAAGCAACTTCTTCGGTGCTCAATTTCGTTGGAAAATTTGAAGTGTAGTGAATCAATTTTTTTGGCGATCGTCTTTCATTTGCTATTTCATTCGCTACACCTTCGTCTACTTTTAGCTTTTTTGTCAAACATATTTGATTGTTGACATCGTCTGGATTATTTCGATTCTCTGTCAAATATGGTCTCTGTTTCACCTGTTGTTGTTCAACAGAATACACTCTACCATGCTCTTCGAATTTCAAATTCATCATAAATTGATCATATGTTTTTAAGACTCTGCAGAAAATGGAACAATCAAACGTTTCAATGAGTAAACAATGTTATAACTGATCATCAGCCCTTCTTTTCGAGATAGGAATGTATCAGAATGGCAAAAGATACAAAATGTGAAGAAATTAACAAAATGGTCATACGTTTGTTCGATGGTTTGTAAGAAATTAGTGCGAAAATGTGCATTGAGTGGCCACCCAAATTGTTTAAAGTTATCACAAATGCCTATTAATGTTAGTTCCACCTCCTGTTCAATGATACAATGCATCTCCGTCACTAAATCAACATAATCGTCCCCTGGTTGTACCGTTCGGTTTTTGAAACTAGACATCGTCGATTTAACTGAAAATAGCAGACTTTAATTATTCGTCAATATACATTTGATTTATCCCATGCAATATTGAAAACGGTCGCAATGCATGGAAGAAAATCACTCCACTGTTGATAATTACCTTTCTACTTTTGGTTTTGACACACATGCAGTAAATCCAATTATTTCCTAATTACCTTTTCAATTTTTCACACCCAATTTCTGTTCTGCGTCTTTATATTTATATCTCTTGTTGATTAATCGAACATTCGACAGTTTTATCGAATGTATAAATTGTTTTAATGAAAATTTGTTGATATGACGCTTATGGTCAATGAATGAGCGGTGTTTTTGACGTTTCAATAGCCGGCGAATAAGTAGAACCAATACAATAACAGAGTAAATGTCAATCGGTAATTTGTGCGAACGCACACATTCCAATCACTTGGTGCAATGCCTTAGTAGTGGACGCTCACTTGAGCAACGTTAGAACAATACACACAACAGCAATGGAATGAACAAAAATTTGCATGTTAACGGAATACCTTCACACAGACACTCTTTGTTGTCATATTTTTTACATACATTTTTTGTGTCCGTATGCATTAGGTACACAGATGAAAGCGAGCTTGAAAACATAAACAATATCAAATAAAAATTGTATATTTTTGTTGCTTCAAAGAGCAATACGTTTGTTGTTATCTTCTATGGTTTACATCTTTCTCTTACAATCTTATTCCATTCAAAAATGAATTAAATGTGTTAGTTAATATGCTTTATAATTAATTTTAAGTCGATTTGAAAGGAGCCTTCTGAATCAGCTGCCTGAAAATACGTCAATATAATGTATCGTTTTGATAAGCCATTGTAAGAAATCCTAGCGAAATCTTTTATTTATGACAATTTATGAACATTCTTTTTGTGTCTCTTTAGATGAGAGTTCGTTGTGAAATCAGCCTTACAATGTTGGCATTTGAAAGGTCTGTTACCAGTATGTGTACTCATATGCGCCATAAAATCAGTTCTCTTAACAGTAGTATATTTGCATAAATAACACTGATAATTTCGTCTATTGCAATGCTTTTCGTGTTCTTTCATAGCCAATTTGTTACCAAATACTGATAGACACTTTGTGCATTGGTTCTCATGACCTTTCATGTGAATATCGAAAAGTTCTTGGTCTGCGAAACTCTTTCTGCATCTTTCACAACGAAATGGTTTTTTCTGATGCATCTCTATATGTCTTGTGAAATGTCCTTTGTGGTCACTTTGATAATCGCATTGATCACATTTGTGCATTAGCCTCTTTCTTTTGTTGCAAATCGATTTTTTTGGCGGTCGTTGCTCATTTGATTTTTCATTCGATGCCCCTTTCGATGAATTATCACCTGTGGATGCTGATTTGGTTGTACTCAATTCGATTTCGGTGTCCGTTTTCTTTAATTCACGCATTCGTATTTTCTTCACTGAAGCCGGTGCCGGACGCAGGGCAAGTGGTAATTTGGGTTGATGATCATTGGTCTTTACTTCACGTTCGATTGTTGGATTTGTACGGGTATCTGCTTTGCTCGTCTTATTCGATGGAAATTTCGAAGTTTGTGGCACAGCGTCTGTAGATAAAATTAAGAAAGGAATAGTGAAGAAGTCCTATCGCTCCGTTTTGCATAGAAATACCTGCAATGTTATCAACATCAATGGATACTTCTGATTCCGTTTCGACTATCGACTTTGATGCCGCATTAGTTG